GCGTGGGCCAGTGGGTGAGGTGGGGGCATGCAGTGTGGGCTGGTGGGACACAGCGTGGGCCAGTGGGTGAGGTGGGGGGCATGCAGTGTGGGCTGTGGTATTTAATCAGAAGAGGGCCTGGTCGAGATGCTCTCTTTCTCTCTCTCCCTATCTGAGAACAAAACCCCCCACCTCGCTGACTGGGAAAAGAAAGAGCCCAGGAGTTATCAAAAACAGAGACCAGAGAACAAACGTTAACATTTAACCCAATGCTGGCTCTTTGTGAAACATGCTCACGAGTCACCGGAAATCTCCCACCTGGGGCTTTCCCACTCCTGGTTGTCCTTGTCCTTATCGTCTTTGTTGTCACCGCTGTGCGGGTGTTTCTGCACAATCCGCATTCCGCCAGCTTTCACTTAAACGGAAACAGAAAGGCAGGTATGATTAATGCGGAAATGGAATAACCTGAGCATCAGAAAGAACTAGCTGGAAAGCTTCTGTGATGGCCCGGTGACCACAAGGTAGTCTAGGCACATCTGTTGGTGACAATCATTAACTATGGAAGGTCAGCAGTGCTTGGAGGTGATGCCATGATTCAGCGCTCAGCGTGACCTCTTACTCCAGGTCCACTTAGAAACTTTCCAAGGCTCTTGGGTTTTTTTTTTTTTTTTGCTTTTCTTGGTTAAGTATTTCTTGAGAGCACAGGCATAACAAAGTATAAACCTAGTGAAGAAGTAGCTGCTTGCTTTAGATTCTGCACATCTTCTTGATGCAACAAGAGCCCACTTCAGTCCTGCCCTGGGATGTTTTCTCAAATATCGAGCATGCTTTTGATGGTGGTGATATAGCCGCAGGTGACACGGGACAGTTACCCTGCCAGAGGCACAGAGCCCAGTGAGGGAGCAGCGAACAGCTTCTGTGTCCTCTGAAACCCTAGTGAGTGTTACCTAATGAGTTCATTCCGGCTCATAGAGACCCTATAGGACAGAGTACAACTTTCCCGTAGGGTGTCCTAGGCTGAAGTCTTCAGGGAAAGGAGCTCTGGTGGCACAGTGGTTAAGCACTCAGTTACTAACCAAAAGGCCTGCGGTTCGAATCCACCAGCCGCTCCTCTGGAGAAAAGACCTGGCCATCTGCTCCAAGAGATTATAGCCTAGGAAAGCCTATGGGGCAGTTCTACTCTGGCCTAGAGGGTCACTACAGGGTCGCTGTGAGTCAGAATCGACTTGGCAGCACACAACAACAATCTTTACAGAAGCAGATCACCAGGTCTTTTTTCCTGTAGAGCCGCTGGTGGGGTCAAATTGTCGACCTTTTGGTTGGCAGCTAAGTGCTTAACCACTGTACCATCAGGGCTCCTTCTGGTGAGTGTGGGTAGATGTTAACTCTATTAAAGGTTTTTATAAAATATATATATAATTCACATACAATTCACCCATTTAAAGTGTACAGTTCAATGGTTTTGAATGTATTCATGGCATTATGAAATGATCACCACAATCAGTTTTAGAACATTTTCATCACCCCAAAAGGAAACCCCATGCCCATTAGCAGTCACAAGCTCTCCACTTCCTTCTCCTGGAAACCATTAATCTACTTCCTGCCTCTATGTTGTTGTGTTAACTGCCTCCTAGTTGGCCTCCCACTCACGGCGGCCCCATGTGTTACAGAGTAGAACTGCTCCATAGGGTTTTCTTGGCTGTAATCTTTATGGAAGCAGTTCCCCAGGCCTTTTCTTCTGCGGAGCTGCTGGGTGGGCTCAAACCACCAAACTTTAGGTCAGTAGTAGAGCATAAACCATTAGCGCCACCCAGGGACTCCTTTCTGCCTCTATAGATTAGCTTATTTTGGGCATTCCATGTCAATGTAATCATATAATATGTGGCCTCTTTCATTTAGCATGATGTTTTCAAGGTTCATCCATGTAGTAGTCTGTACCACTACTTCATTCCTTCGTACTGCAGAATATTCTATTGCATGGATATACTACATTTTATTTATCCATTCTTCAGCTGATGGACATTTGGGTTGTTTCTATTTTTTGAATATTAGGGACTGCTGCTATGAACATTTGTATACAAGTTTTGGTGTGGACATATGTTTTCAGTTCTTTGGGGTATATATCTAGGAGTGGGACTGCTGGGTCATACGGTCATTCTGTTTAACTTTTTGAGGAATCAGCAAACTGCTTTCCACAGCAGCTACACCATTCCCCATTCCCGCCAGCAGTGGATGAGGGTTCCAGTTTCTCCGCATCCTTACCAACACTTGCTGGTTTCCCGTTTTCTGCTAAGAGCCATCCTAGTGGGTGTGAAGTGGTATCTCATAGTGGTTTGACTGGCATTTTCTTAACAGATAAAATGTTAATACTGTTTTGCAAGGAAAAACAACCACAATAACTGATGTTCTAGAATTTAATAAGTGTAGGAAATGCTAGGTTAAACAAAAGCAATGGGTTTCCTCAAGACGGATTTTCTCCACCTGTAGGGTGCTAGGAGACCTGGTGGCGCAGTGGTTAAGAGCTCGACTGCTTACCAAAAGGTTGGCAGTTCGAATCCACCAGCTGCTCCTTAGAAATCTTATGGGGCAGTTCTACTGTGTCCTATAGGGTCACAATCAGTCAGAATTGACTTGACAGCAATGGGTTTGTTTTTTGTTTTTTTGTTAGGGTGTTAACCTGCAGCGGGAAGCTTTACGAGGGACACAAAGTACAGTCTTTCCCAAATGTATTTGACCACAGAACATTTTTTCCCCAGTAATACGGTTATCCTCCTTTAGGACTAGAGGGTTCCATGGAATAGTTTGGAAATGCTGGCCAAATGCATGAAAGTCCTGCCCACATCCAGGAAGGCGGCCTCACTCGGCAGCCACAGCACACGCCTGGGAGTCTGCAAGCTCCTCCATGCCCTCAGCGCTCCTCCATGCCCTCAGCTATGCTGTCTCCGAGTGGTACCCAGCCTCTCAAAGCCTCGCTGCCCCATCCGTAGAAAGCAGAGAGTAAGAGCAATATCCTAATATTAGTTTGAATGAGAAGAGAGGGGCATTTAGTAATCCCAGCACACGATGAGGGCTTTAGAGAACGCAGAATCCTTTCAGCTGCGCTTGTCCTCACCCCGTTACGTCCTTCCTCCTCAGAACAGCTATTGTTGTTAGCTGTCGTCAGGTCGGCCCCCGACTCGTGGTGACCCCATGCACAATGGAACGAAACACTGCCTAGTCCTGCACCATCGTCATGATAGTTTGTAGATCGGACCGGTGTGATCCATAGGGTTTTAATTGGCTGATTTTTGGAAGTAGATCACCAGGTCTTTCTTCCTAGTCTGTCTTAGTCTTGAAGCTCTACTAAAAACTGTTCAGCATTATAGCAACACACAAGCTTCCATGGACAAATGAATGGCAGCTGCGCATGAGGTGCACTGGCCGGGAATCGAACCCAGATCTCCTGCATGGAAGGCAAGAGTTCTACCACTGACCCTGGGTGTTTTACCATAATACAGCTCAGATCACACAACACACTTTACCTTGGCACAGGACAAATGTGGTTGGACCCGCTGTGTCACAAAAGTCCAGGACAAGTTCTACATTATGCTGATGAATAGGAAGGAGGATGTGAAAAACACCCTCCAGCTTACACACTTCTAATGTAATACAGGCTTCAATTTCCCAGGGAGATTCTACCAGAATCTTTCTGATTTCAGAAAGATGAGGACACTTGCTTCTCATGCCAACAGAATGTGAGTGGCTGTCCATTAGAAAAGGGCCAAGCAGACAGCAATGAAATGAAGAGCTGTGTTTAAACTGTGCTCCGGGTTTGGAATGAAAATATCCCCATGGCCATCCCCCACCTTTTCACTGGGGGAGGAGGAGTGGGGGCAGTGTTCTACTTTCAAAAAGAAGGAAGTATAATCCTGTTCAGTAATTCTCAATAATCTGCTTTTTAATCCTATTCATTTTTTAAATTTTATTTATTGTTGTTGTTGAGAATATATACAGTGAAACAAACACCAATTCGATAGTTTCTACATATACCATTTAGTGGCACTGATTACATTCTTCAAGTTGTGTAACCATCCTCACCCTCCTTTTCTGGGTTGGTCCTTCCCCATTAACATAAATTCACCGCCCCCCTAAGGTTCCTATCTAATCTTTCCAGTTGCTGTTATCAGTTTGATCCCATATAGATAGTTCTTAAAAGAGCATAAAGCTTAAGGCAGATATTTTTCCACTAGTTAAACTAAACTATCATTTGGTTTTAAGAAGAATTCAGGGGATACTTTTGGTTTAAGGTTTAAAGATTAACCCAGGGCAATGACATCAGGGGTTCATCCAACCCTCACAGTTCCAGGAAGTCAAGAGTCTATGAGAATTTGAAGTTTTGTTCTGCATTCTTGCCATTTTGATCAGAATTCTTTTATAGAATCTTTGATCAAAATGTTTAGTAATGGTAGCCAGGCACCATCCAGTTCTTCTGGTCTCATGACAAAGGAGGGAATTGTTCATGGAGGCGATTAACCACACACTCCATATCCTGTTCTTGACTCTCCTTCTTCCTCTGTTGTTCCAGACAAACAGAGATCAACTGTTGTGCCTTGGATGGCATCCATCCATTGATTTTTATTTCAAGCATTTAATTTTTTCATGTCTAGACCTTATGTATTTTTTTCTCAAATTAGTCTGGTCTTTTTCTTTACTCACGTTTTCAATTTTTTATCTTTAAATTTTTTCATGCACACTTGTTTTATAGTTGTATATCTGCCTGTTGTATATCTGGCCTGGTGGCACAGTGGTTAAGTGTTTGGCTGTTAACCAAAATGTCGACAGTTCAAATCCACCAACTGCTTCTTGGAAAACCTATGGGGCAGTTCTACTCTGTCCTATAGGGTCACTAAGAGTCAGAATCGACTCAGTGGCAACAGGTTTGTTTTTTGGTATCTGCTTACTAAGGAGCCTTGGTGGAGGAAATGTTAAGCACTTGGCTGCTAACCAAAAGGTTGGCAGTTCAAGCCCACCCAGCAGCTCCATGGGAGAAAGACCTGGCAATCTGCTCCTATAAAAATTACAGCCTAGGAAACCCTGTGAAGTTCTGCTGTCATATGGCGTTGCTAGGAGTCTAAAATTGACTCAACAGCACCTAACAACAATACACACTTACCGCTCATGCTTATTACTTGGATTTTTAGTTCCATCTTTGTTTTAGCCTACGGGATTTCCCTTACTTTAAGCCCAGATAAAGAAATCGGATTCAGCATTTCCAGGTTTTTTGTTGCTTTGAATCAATATTTCCCAGGTAATGTAGTCTGCCACACCTTTAGAAACGGAGATTGGCAATAGAAGTCTGCAGTTGTTTTATTATGTAAGGTCTGTGGGAGTCTAACTATGGTGCAGTCAGTTACTTAATATGGTCCTTCTAGCCAT